GGGGACACTAGAAATGGGCTTCACACATTGTACCCATGTCGGGATTCGATCCCGGGTCTTCAGTGTGAGGAGTGAACGCTTTAACCACTAGGCTACCTGACCGGCCCTGAACTTGTAGACCTGGCACAACATGACAGGGATCTCCATTACTGATGAACAGTATTGTCAACTCCAATAAATAACTTGAATCTGGCTAGTCTCAGGCTCAGGCTAACTGTAGATATAAGGGTAGGGTTTTATCCAACCGCAAGGCATGAACGACAAGATCTAATCCTGGGATTCACCCGACCCCCTCGTTGTCTTTCAGGCTAACTGTAGTTTGCTTACAACAATCACCAGTCATATAAGTCCAACAATACCTACAATTCAATATAATTGTAAAGTGCAAATACAGTGAGTGAGTGAGTTTGGTTTAAGGCCGCTTTTAACAGTATTCCAGTTATATCACGGCGTGTCAGCTTAATGTGGGAGGAAAGCCCGATGTGATGCAGGTCTCAGACGTTTACCACTTTGAAACCCACGTGCACGGGTATGGTGCTGACAAACCTAGAAACATAATCGGGGCGAACCGGGATTTGAACCCACAATCATAGGTTTCTGGCGTGCCCAAGGGACGCAACTCTGCACAGCCAATCACTGCGCCTTAGACGACTGGGCCACCCGTGCCCCCAGTGCAAATACAGAAGATTGATAATAATGTGTAACAAACATGCAAATTATACATTAATAAACTAATTTGAAAATTCAGCATGCACTTAAGCTTAAAAGTTTAAGAAATTAAAGGCAAATTTCTCTCCTTCTTTAAATTTAAAACTAAGACAAAATTCAATATCTCATGTTTACAAATGTTTCAAAATATTGAAAATGACAAAGTACAAAAATAAATAAGACTGTACACAATGTTTCAATGAATATTATGATATGTAAAATGACACCAAAGGTGCTAGTTACTTGTGATATAAAGCTGTGGTCAGTGTTCCCCTTGGGATGGCATAGAGCAGTGATGACGAGCCCCTGTTTTGACAACATTCATCAATTTCACATCACCTTGACAATACCTTTGTGACCATCAGAAACAAACTGAACACTATTAATTCACTTTATAAAAACAGACTGTTGCAGTCTTTTCAGACAGTTAATCAGTAAAATACTAGTACAGTAACCAGTGTAGAATGGGCGTTTGGAAATGGGTCGTATTGTCCAGTGTTGGTTGCTAGTTAAATCATATACTTCATTAATTTTATATAAGCACAAAGAACTACACAGACTGAAGTGAAGAGTACTGATAAGGGGAGATAATCTGACACAAAATGCCATATTTCCTCCAGGAAGCCTCTTCTAAGGGTACCGTATTCGATGTAATAAGCGCGCCGCTCTAATAAGCGAACACGGTGATATTTGCTTATATATTGGCTAGTGAACAATCCCAATTTGCACCTCTTCTGATTGATCAATGTACACAAGACTTATATATTTGCATATAATACGCACTCGTGTGTTATATGCACCCTTAATTATGGGCAATTAAATTCTGAAAAAATAAATCTGTCATTTATAAACATTTCGGGCTGTCAGCATAAACCACAAGATTTATCTTTCAACTCTGTTTTTTTTTCACCAAAATAATATTCTAATAAGAGCCCCCTATTTATAAATTTGAGAGTGCCCTGGTCGCTTATTACGTCAAGGACAATATGTTTTCTTTTGTTTTGTTTGTTTACCGCCACACTTGGCAATGTTCCAGCCATATGATGGTGGCCTGTATATACTCAATTCTGGACCAGACAATGAGGTGATTAATATTATGAGCAACAATCTATACAATGCGGTAAGAGGCCATATTATCAACCTTGGCACCAAGTATGACCTGCCGATCCATTTGACAGGAAAATATACTGATCCAAAGGAACAGTACGTTGACGGTTCTGTGTGTTTTTAATCATGATGCATGAAATAATTTCCGAGCGTGACGTCACATTCCCGATTCAATTTTCAAACCCAAACAGTATGGCTCCGCACAGTGGAGCCAACAATGCAAGCACTGCGCAGAGTAAACTGGCTTCAGTTTTTTATCAGAGGCAAATTGAAGCGAAAGCTTTGTGTTTTTCACATTTTTCGAAATAATAAGAGCTAGATTGATTAGATTAGAAGCAAGTGCTTATCAAAGCCTAGATTGTAACATAAATATGTCTCGGTCATATGAAGCCAATCACTCTCCTACCCAGAGTTCCTTGCGGCCAGCCGAGTACCTCTGTCACATCGTACACATTCCATTTAAGTGTTTTTCATTTTGGACGTGTCTAAATATTCAGATACACATATGTCACAATATTTTTAACTTTGACTGAGGAAATATTCGAGGATGTGAAAAGCAATTTTGATTTGCGTATTTATACTCCACGTCCTACGGAGGGCATATCATCACTATGATGTGTGAAAGCGAAATTGTCATACACCTCACTGTCACAGCCGTAGTAGTATATTTATATAATTATGCAAAACAATAGGTCAACTCGAGCTTTGCTGGCTCATTATTTAAGAAAGTAAATTATATTTAGGAAGAAAAATCAGTTTCCAATGTCAAACAAATTGTTATACAAAACTTCCATCATGCAAGCTTCTGAAATAGTTTGTCATTACAATCAGCACACCATATCAGTGTTTTTGATAGTTACAGTAATGGCTATAGCTTGTTGATACAGTATACACAGGGACTATCGCTAATGTTTACAATTACTACAACAACACTAAAGTTATAATGTATCTTAGGCTTAAAAATATAAAAGAATTGGTTCTCAGGCAATGACTGTTAAAAAACAGTGTGGGCAGGTGGTTAGATTTTTTTGTTCCTTGTTCAAACTAATATGTAACCAAATAAATAGTTGGGTACCATCAACCTGGGAAAGGGCCTCCCTACATAAAGAAGCATACAAACTCCTATAATCTCAATGACCATAACACGGTGAGGTGAGGTGAGGTGAGGTGAAATGGGGTTTAACGTAGCGACCAAGATTATTGCACTTATATAGCAACTTGCATGCACGTGTGTGTGGCTGCTTGTCCTAGTCCGGACTGATGCCGATTTATAGTGCTAGCCCACTGAGATACCATGCCGCAGTTTAACATGAATACCCCACAGTATACTGACTCCAAGCCGACCAGTCCTTGTTTTAGCCCCTTAATGCCAAGCGCCAGACAGGGTAACAACAAGTACCATCTTTTAACGACTTTTGGTATGACACGGCAGGGGATTGAACCCCAGACCTTCCACTCTCCGGGCAGACGCTCTACCACTAGACCACAGAGGCGGTCCTGACCATTACAGAGATGCACAGTAAAGCAGTGTGCATGCAAAGGGAAGTAACTGTGTGCTATATGGGATCGCATTGTTTTAAGTATTAGGATTTAGTTTTTGGATAAATGGAACTAAAAACGAAACGTGTGGCGGACTTTATGATAATGCAGGCAGTGCCTGAGAACCAAGACTACGGTATTCGACGTAATAAGCGCCCGGGGCTCTCAAAATTAGAAATAGGGGGCTCTTATTAGAATATTATTTTGGTGAAAAAAAACATATTTGAAAGATAAATTTCGTTGTTTATGCTGACAGCCTGAAATGTTTATGTACGACAGATATATTTTTCAAGATTTAAATTGCCCATAAATAAGGCTGCATATAACACACGTGTGAGTATTATACCGAATAAATAAGTCTTGTGTACATTGATCAATCGGAAGGGTTGCAAATTGGGCTTGTTCACTAGACAATACATCAGCAAATATTGCCGTGGGCGCTTATTAGAGCGGGGCGCTTATTACGTCGAATACGGTATTATTTTTTTAGCCTTGTGTACTTTACTGTCTGTCTTACAGGAGAATATATGCACTGCCTGAACAATATAAGACAGCTGCTATAACCACCATTCTAAAAGTATTGATAGGAAGAGTACATTTCTACTCAATAAACATGGATACAAAACGTCTTGTATCAGGTATTATTGAACACATTATGATGTGCTTAGATATTAAATCCTGTAAAATACTAAGATATCTATATCAGTATATATATGCACCAAGCTGAAAGGCAGCGTGTCAGTTAGTGCAAGATATGCACTATATCTTAGCAATGCAAGAACTGTGCAACCCTGACAGTTTAAAGCATTTAGAAAACTGTCCATACCAGAGTCCAGGACCCACTTGCACAAAGCAATCTTAGCGCTAAGACTATCTTAAGCCTATGTTAAAGAATGGGAGTTAGGATCATCTTAGCGCTTAGACTATCTTAAGCCTAAGATCGCTTTGTGCAAGTGGGCCCAGGCCTCTCTAGATTAACAACATGGTTCAACAAATATGCTGGTCCGGCAGACAAATACCAGTCAACATTAATGAGGACCATCCTACAATTGAGATGGTCTTGCTAGTGGCAAAGTGAGGTCTACCTTGACTACGTTGACATATGACAGCAAGCATGGCAAAAAGTGGAATATTTGTCATATGGTGACAAAATATGTGAAATTCTGTTTAGTAGATGTCTATCAAATAGTTTTCTCTGTACCAATGATTCTTCATTGGCACTGGTGCTATTTGCTTGAGGATAAAAACACATTTGCAGGCTCATTCTAATAGTCATGTGACATGAGAAACATATTTTAATCTGAGATTTTGTTTGTTTGTTTGTTGTTTAACGCCGCACTAAGCAATATTCCAGCTATATGATGGCGACTCTGGACCAGACAATCCAGTGATTGACATCATGAGCATCGATCCATGCAATTGGGATACGATGACATGCATCAACCAAGTCAGCGAGCCTGACCACCCGATCCCATTAGTCGCCTCTTGCGACAAGCATGGGTTTCTGAAGACCAATTCTAACCCGGATTCTTACGACAAGCATAGTCACATTAATCTTGGAGTGAGTGAGGGAGTTGGGAGTGATGCAGGTCTCAGACGTTTACCACTTTGGTGAAACCCACGAGCTCGGGTACGGTGCTGACAAACCTAGAAACATAATCGGGGCGAACTGGGATTCGAACCCACAATCATAGGTTTCTGGCGTGCCCAAGGGACGCAACTCTGCACAGCGAATCACGGCGCCTTAGACAACTGGGCCACCCGTACCCCCCCATTAATCTTGGACATGGTGTAGACATGTGTTACACACAGCTTACAAAGACAGCATTACTTGCACTCTACATGTCATATTTCAAAACATACTAAGGCGGAATTTGTCTATCTGATATATTTTCTGATGTGGAGGTTTATGAAGAAAGGTGTAAGGCCTTCATTAAAGTCATATATGACCAATCTGGCTTCTCCACCCAAACTTTGGTAGGACTAAAAAGCAGCTCTTGATATGCAATGATATAAGTGTCAATTTGAGGAACATGTTTGCAGGAATTAAAACAAAGCTGCAGGAATTAAAACAAAAAATAACAATGATAATTCAGCATGATGAACAATTGCGTGATGTTATTTACAAATCAGCTGTTGTGGCGTTACCAAGCTACCAGCGCCTAGCTGCTTTGATGACAATGAGTGGTGTTTACAAACATACATTAAGCACCTGACCAACTCACGTGAGTTGGGAGCTTCTCCAGCCAGGTAGATGTCTACAGTGGCTTCCACAGTCTCTACCCAGCACCAGTCTCATTCAAGTCAGATCTTGTACTCCAATACCATGTCTCTGCAAGAGGATTTCACCCACCCACCATGGGACCTTGCGTCAAGTATTACCTTTATTAATTTGCATTCGGAACTGCCCACTAATGTTCGTTTTTGAGACAAAGAGATCAGATGTGTTGCTCAAGCTTTCTTGCTCAACAGGCTTATAAGAAAGCTCACCTGATGCGACCTTGAGAGGATTATCAGAAATACATGCCAAGAGGTATCAGAGTACACAATCTGAAATTGATGAGACTGCACAGTCTATGCTACCTCCAACCTTAAAGAGGGACTACACTCCACAATCTGGTTAGTTAGAAGACAAAGTAGGTGGGTGATGAATGACTTGAAACAGACCTACCAAACAGCACGTGTCTAGTCCCTCTTTATATTGGATTGTACATTATCATCTTGTTTCTAAAACAGTTCACTAAAAACGTTTCTATGAAAACAGGTAAAACTTGTCTACAAACTTAGTGTCCATTATTATACAACACAGGTACAACAGTTCTGTCCTGTACAGGAACTGCCAATATATCACCTTGACTACTGATACAACAAAACAGGTGACACATGCACAGCTGTGACGTCATCCTCGTATATATTGACAATATACAGTGCTACACTTTAACCTTGCTACTCACAAGATAAAGTGGGTATTGCATGGTCAGGAGTTTGTGGGTACTGGATGGCCTGAAGTTTGTGGGTATTGCATGGTCAGACGTTAGTGGGTATTGGATGGTCAGAAGGTTTTGGGTACTGGATGCCCAGAAGTTGCTGGTACTGGATGACCTGAAGTTTGTGGGTATTGGATGGTCAGACGTTAGTGGGTATTTGATAGCCTAAAGTTAATGGGTATTTGATACCAGGAATTTGTTCTGATAAATATTAATAAAATGTCCCCAAAAAGTATTGCAGTATCAGTTTCAGGTTTTGGATGGAATTGTGACTGACAAAAAAATATACTTACCAAGAAAAGTATTGACGCATTTTGAAAATTCCAGAAGAATTATAGGATTCAGTACCATTTAGCTAAATTAACTTAAATTTATCTTTTAACCAATTTGATTGCAGCCCTCTCTCAATAGTTTTACAACAGTCAGCAATACTCCCGTTATATCATGGAAGCCTATTTGATAATTAAGCTTGGTCCAGGCAAACTGCTGAACTGTTAGAGTAAGGATCCACTTTATCAGGACACACAAGATCAGCAGAACACACAAAATTAAACACTTCATCCTTTTTCGGCAGTTCTGATGAGACACTGTGGACCTTTTCTCGTGGACAGGGTTGTGGCACTGACGGGTATCAATACATTCAAGGATGACACAGTGTGTCTAAAGTCAACATAAGAGAATTTGGCTGAAGGGTTAGTTCTTGTACAGGGTACTACAGATTTGTGGCCACAGTACTTTCCTGTGTAAAGACTGTGATGTGAGACAAATGTTCCCTTGTTGACCACCGCATAGCTACAGAGTGACTCAGTGAGTATATTAAAGGCTGTGCAAAACAGATTTAGGTTTCCCTCAGACAAATTACATTTGTTTGCTGTTAATGCTGAAATCAGCAACATTACAGCAACATTCCAGCCATAAGATGCGGGAAACATCAAGTATCGCAGGTGGAAACAGAATGTTTGATATGATTCAGCCATTATTGAATTTACCACATCCACGGAGGAAGCAGTTTTCGCTCTCAGATGAAAGTACTCGAGGCTCCAGTGCCATACAGTGGTCAGGAGCAGTACATTCACATGTTCATTTTATTCAGGGTAATCTCTCCATACAGAAATGTACCTGGCCTGCAAGTCAGTAGCCCATGTACAAGAACTTTTACAGAAGTATTTGGCACAGACGAGACAGCAGTACCTGTCCGCAATGATGGTTCACTTCCTTCAAGATAGGAGCACAAGAAAGTGGATATCTTCCTAATCAGATAACCACAAGCCACAGTCTCTGCAGCATGGCTTAGGAATGTCTATATGAATCTAGGGAAGCTTCTTTCTCGGACAGGGTGTACATGGACAGATTGCATAGAAGGCACTAGAGAGTCAAACACAGTCCTGGGTCTTGAGCACCTGGTGTTCATGTCTCGGAATTCTTTCAAGGCCTTCACTAAAATACATGCCTTGTCATGTGACATGGGTTAAGAAAGAATACATTGAATAATTGACCAACGGACATGGTGCAGAGAAAGCTATCAGTGGGAACAATTGTGACATATATACTTGATAGTTACTTTGAATATTCAAATCTTGTCTGTCAGCACACATGGGTTAGTTTGGATTCAAACTGAGGCTCTGTCCATATCCCACAATTCCCTGTAAACATGTCTGCTGTGTCAGCTCCTGGGAATCTAACTGTCAGTTATCTGTAATCTACTTGTTCCTGAAGTAAAACTGTCCATTAACTACGATTCATTTCATCATATTTGATATGCCTGGTCACATGTGAACATGTGCATTGATCATAGTGAGGATGACCAAGTTATATTTCAGAGTTGGTAGCACGGTAGGCTAGTTGACCCTTTCCCCATCCTACAACCCCTCCCACTGTCAGCCCAGCAACTCTGTAACAAAACATTTCAGCTCACTCCCCTAGTGGGGATATGTGTCCCCCTCAACTGACACACCTCACTCTGGTAGTTCAATCTCATGCTAGACTCAGTACCCCCCAGTTCTACCCATCTACCCCAAAAGCTACAATCAAACCCAGTTCTACTTCCCCAATGACTCTACCTCACCCAACTGCTCTATCTCACCCATAACTTAACTTCAACCCCTCTATCCCTACCCAACCCCAGTTAACCTCACCCAACAGCTACAATCAAACCCAGTTCTATTTCACCCCCATGACTCACCTCACCCGACAGATCCACCTCACCCATAACTTAACTTCAACCCCTCTATCCCTACCCAACCCCAGTTAACCTCACCCAATAGCTACAATCAAACCCAGTTCTATTTCACCCCCATGACTCACCTCACCCGACAGATCCACCTCACCCATAACTTTACTTCAACCCCTCTATCCCTGCCAAACCCCAGTTAACCTCACCCAACAGCTGCACTCAAACCCAGTTCTATTTCACCCCCATGACTCACCTCACCCAACTGCTCTACCTCACCCATAACTTGCCCAACCCCAGTTAACCTTACCCAACAGCTTTAAATAATTCCATCCAACTCACCCCCATCCCTACCAAAACCGCTCTAGCTGACTGCTCACAGCGTATCTCACCCCAACAAGCTCAATATCAACCTTTCAATCTGAATGTGAACCCCACTTAAACCCCAACAACCCCAACTTCTCCACCACTACTCTCTCCTCGAGGCCTGCCTCAACAGATCATGAATGCTGGCATATTCAGGGTCCTCATCAAAGTGTTTGGCCAGGTCCATGAACTGAGGCCGATGTTCTGCCTTCCAGGACCAACACTTGAGCATGATGCCGTACGCTGTCTGGGGGCACCTGTCTGGCTTAATCAGCCGCTTCCCATGCTCGATGTACTGCACCACCTGGGGGAGAGAAACGTCATACTTGACAAACCAAACATTGTTCTTTATCCAAAAACATTCTTCCAACTTTTTCAGTTTGTAAACAGTCACAGTGTCTTCAGAGTAAATGGGAGATAGGACCCACAGAGAGGGGAGATAGGACCCACAGAGAGGGGAGATAGGACCCACAGAGAGGGGAGATAGGACCCACAGAGAGGGGAGATAGGAACCACAGAGAGAGGAGATAGGACCCATAGAGAGGGGAGGTAGGACCCACAGAGAGGGGAGATAGGACCCACGGAGAGGGGAGATAGGAACCACAGAGAGGGGAGGTAGGACCCACAGAGAGGTGAGCTAGGAACCACAGAGAGGGGAGGTAGGACCCACAGAGAGGGGAGATAGGACCCACAGAGAGGGGAGGTAGGACCCACAGAGAGGTGAGCTAGGAACCACAGAGAGGGGAGGTAGGACCCACAGAGAGGGGAGATAGGAACCACAGAGAGGGGAGGTAGGACCCACAGAGAGGTGAGCTAGGAACCACAGAGAGGGGAGGTAGGACCCACAGAGAGGGGAGATAGGAACCACAGAGAGGGGAGGTAGGACCCACAGAGAGGGGAGATAGGACCCACAGAGAGGGGAGGTAGGACCCACAGAGAGGGGAGATAGGACCCACAGAGAGGGGAGATAGGACCCACAGAGAGGGGAGATAGGACCCACAGAGAGGGGAGATAGGACCCACAGAGAGGGGAGATAGGACCGATAGAGAGAGGAGATAGGACCCATAGAGAGGGGAGATAGGACCCACAGAGAGGGGAGATAGGACCCACAGAGAGGGGAGGTAGGACCCACAGAGAGTGGAGATAGGACCCACAGAGAGGGGAGATAGGACCCACGGAGAGGGGAGATAGGACCCACAGAGAGGGGAGATAGGACCCACGGAGAGGGGAGATAGGACCCACGGAGAGGGGAGATAGGACCCACAGAGAGGGGAGATAGGACCCACAGAGAGGGGAGATAGGACCCACAGAGAGGGGAGATAGGACCCACAGAGAGGGGAGATAGGACCCACAGAGAGGGGAGATAGGACCCACAGAGAGTGGAGATAGGACCCACAGAGAGGGGAGATAGGACCCACAGAGAGGGGAGATAGGACCCACAGAGAGGGGAGATGGGACCCATAGAGAGGGGCGATAGGACCCACAGAGAGGGGAGATAGGACCCACAGAGAGGGGAGATAGGACCCACAGAGAGGGGAGATAGGACCCACAGAGAGGGGAGATAGGACCCACAGAGAGGGGAGATGGGACCCACAGAGAGGGGAGATGGGACCCACAGAGAGGGGAGATGGGACCCATAGAGAGGGGCGATAGGACCCACAGAGAGGGGAGATAGGACCCACAGAGAGGGGAGATAGGACCCACAGAGAGGGGAGATAGGACCCACAGAGAGGGGAGATAGGACCGATAGAGAGAGGAGATAGGACCGATAGAGAGAGGAGGTAGGACCCACAGAGAGGGGAGATAGGACCCACAGAGAGGGGAGATAGGACCCACAGAGAGGGGAGATAGGACCCACAGAGAGGGGAGATAGGACCGATAGAGAGAGGAGGTAGGACCCACAGAGAGGGGAGATAGGACCCACAGAGAGGGGAGATAGGACCCACAGAGAGGGGAGATAGGACCCACAGAGAGGGGAGATAGGACCGATAGAGAGAGGAGGTAGGACCCACAGAGAGGGGAGATAGGACCCACAGAGAGGGGAGATAGGACCCACAGAGAGGGGAGATAGGACTCACAGAGAGGGGAGATAGGACCCACAGAGAGGGGAGATAGGACCGATAGAGAGAGGAGGTAGGACCCACAGAGAGGGGAGATAGGACCCACAGAGAGGGGAGATAGGACCCACAGAGAGGGGAGATAGGACCCACAGAGAGGGGAGGTAGGACCCACAGAGAGGGGAGGTAGGACCCACAGAGAGGGGAGATAGGACCCACAGAGAGGGGAGATAGGACCGATAGAGAGAGGAGGTAGGACCCACAGAGAGGGGAGATAGGACCCACAGAGAGGGGAGATAGGACTCACAGAGAGGGGAGATAGGACCCACAGAGAGGGGAGATAGGACCGATAGAGAGAGGAGGTAGGACCCACAGAGAGGGGAGATAGGAACCACAGAGAGGGGAGATAGGACCCACAGAGAGGGGAGATAGGACTCACAGAGAGAGGAGATAGGACCCACGGAGAGTGGAGATAGGACCCACAGAGAGGGGAGATAGGACCCATAGAGAGGGGAGATAGGACCCACAGAGAGGGGAGATAGGACCCACAGAGAGGGGAGATAGGACCGATAGAGAGGGGAGGTAGGAACCACAGAGAGGGGAGATAGGACCCACGGAGAGGGGAGATAGGACCCACAGAGAGGGGAGATAGGACCCACAGAGAGGGGAGATAGGACCCACAGAGAGGGGAGGTAGGACCCACAGAGAGTGGAGATAGGACCCACAGAGAGGGGAGATAGGAACCACAGAGAGGGGAGATAGGACCCACAGAGAGGGGAGATAGGACCGATAGAGAGGGGAGATAGGACCCACAGAGAGGGGAGGTAGGACCCACAGAGAGGGGAGGTAGGACCCACAGAGAGAGGAGGTAGGACCCACAGAGAGAGGAGATAGGACCGATAGAGAGAGGAGGTAGGACCCATAGAGAGAGGTGAGCTAGGACCCATAGAGAGGGGAGATAGGACCCACAGAGAGGGGAGATAGGACCCACAGAGAGGGGAGGTAGGACCCACAGAGAGGGGAGATAGGAACCACAGAGAGGGGAGATAGGACCCACAGAGAGGGGCGATAGGACCCACAGAGAGGGGAGATGGGACCCACAGAGAGGGGAGATAGGACCCACAGAGAGGGGAGATGGGACCCACAGAGAGGGGCGATAGGACCCACAGAGAGGGGAGATAGGACCCACAGAGAGGGGAGATGGGACCCATAGAGAGGGGAGATAGGAACCACAGAGAGGGGAGATAGGACCCACAGAGAGAGGTGAGCTAGGAACCACAGAGAGGGGAGATAGGACCCACAGAGAGGGGAGATAGGACCCACAGAGAGGGGAGATGGGACCCACAGAGAGGGGCGATAGGACCCACAGAGAGGGGAGATAGGACCCACAGAGAGGGGAGATGGGACCCATAGAGAGGGGAGGTAGGAACCACAGAGAGGGGAGATAGGACCCACAGAGAGAGGTGAGCTAGGAACCACAGAGAGGGGCGATAGGACCCACAGAGAGGGGAGATGGGACCCACAGAGAGGGGAGATGGGACCCACAGAGAGGGGAGATGGGACCCACAGAGAGGGGAGATGGGACCCATAGAGAGGGGCGATAGGACCCACAGAGAGGGGAGATAGGACCCACAGAGAGGGGAGATAGGACCCACAGAGAGGGGAGATAGGACCCACAGAGAGGGGAGATAGGACCGATAGAGAGAGGAGATAGGACCGATAGAGAGAGGAGGTAGGACCCACAGAGAGGGGAGATAGGACCCACAGACAGGGGAGATAGGACCCACAGAGAGGGGAGATAGAACCCACAGAGAGGGGAGATAGGACCCACAGAGAGGGGAGATAGGACCGATAGAGAGAGGAGGTAGGACCCACAGAGAGGGGAGATAGGACCCACAGAGAGGGGAGATAGGACCCACAGAGAGGGGAGATAGGACCCACAGAGAGGGGAGATAGGACCGATAGAGAGAGGAGGTAGGACCCACAGAGAGGGGAGATAGGACCCACAGAGAGGGGAGATAGGACCCACAGAGAGGGGAGATAGGACTCACAGAGAGGGGAGATAGGACCCACAGAGAGGGGAGATAGGACCGATAGAGAGAGGAGGTAGGACCCACAGAGAGGGGAGATAGGACCCACAGAGAGGGGAGATAGGACCCACAGAGAAGGGCGATAGGACCCACCGAGAGGGGAGATAGGACCCACAGAGAGGGGAGGTAGGACCCACAGAGAGGGGAGGTAGGACCCACAGAGAGGGGAGATAGGACCCACAGAGAGTGGAGATAGGACCCACAGAGAGGGGAGATGGGACCAGCAGAGAGGGGAGGTAGGACCCACAGAGAGGGGAGATAGGACCCACAGAGAGGGGAGATAGGACCCACAGAGAGGGGAGATAGGACCCACAGAGAGGGGAGATAGGACCGATAGAGAGAGGAGGTAGGACCCACAGAGAGGGGAGATAGGACCGATAGAGAGGGGAGATAGGACCCACAGAGAGGGGAGATAGGACCCACAGAGAGGGGAGATAGGACCCACAGAGAGGGGAGATAGGACCCACAGAGAGGGGAGGTAGGACCCACAGAGAGGGGAGGTAGGACCCACAGAGAGAGGAGATAGGACCCACGGAGAGTGGAGATAGGACCCACAGAGAGGGGAGATGGGACCAGCAGAGAGGGGAGATAGGACCCACAGAGAGGGGAGATAGGAACCACAGAGAGGGGAGATAGGACCCACAGAGAGGGGAGGTAGGACCCACAGAGAGGGGAGGTAGGACCCACAGAGAGGGGAGATAGGACCCACAGAGAGGGGAGATAGGACCCACAGAGAGGGGAGGTAGGACCCACAGAGAGGGGAGGTAGGACCCACAGAGAGAGGAGATAGGACCCACGGAGAGTGGAGATAGGACCCACAGAGAGGGGAGATGGGACCAGCAGAGAGGGGAGATAGGACCCACAGAGAGGGGAGATAGGAACCACAGAGAGGGGAGGTAGGACCCACAGAGAGGGGAGATAGGACCCACAGAGAGGGGAGATAGGACTCACAGAGAGAGGAGATAGGACCCACGGAGAGTGGAGATAGGACCCACAGAGAGGGGAGATGGGACCAGCAGAGAGGGGAGATAGGACCCACAGAGAGGGGAGATAGGAACCACAGAGAGGGGAGGTAGGACCCACAGAGAGGGGAGATAGGACCCACAGAGAGGGGAGGTAGGAACCACAGAGAGGGGAGATAGGAACCACAGAGAGGGGAGGTAGGAACCACAGAGAGGGGAGATAGGAACCACAGAGAGGGGAGGTAGGACCCACAGAGAGGGGAGGTAGGAACCACAGAGAGGGGAGATAGGAACCACAGAGAGGGGAGGTAGGACCCACAGAGAGGGGAGATAGGACCCACAGAGAGGGGAGATAGGACTCACAGAGAGAGGAGATAGGACCCACGGAGAGTGGAGATAGGACCCACAGAGAGGGGAGATGGGACCTACAGAGAGGAGATAGGACCCACAGAGAGGGGAGATAGGACCTACAGAGAGGAGATAGGACCCACAGAGAGGGGAGATGGGACCAGCAGAGAGGGGAGATAGGACCCACAGACAGGGGAGATAGGACCTACAGAGAGGAGATAGGACCCACAGAGAGGGGAGATGGGACCAGCAGAGAGGGGAGATAGGACCCACAGAGAGGGGAGATAGGACCTACAGAGAGGAGATAGGACCCACAGAGAGGGGAGATGGGACCAGCAGAGAGGGGAGATAGGACCCACAGACAGGGTACATGGGAGAAGACTGTAGATACAGACCTCGATCCCCTTCATCTCCCCGTAAGGCGGCTCCCCGAATGTAAACATCTCCCACAGAGTGACACCGTAGCTCCACACATCGCTAGCGTGAGAAAACTGGCCATAGTTAACACTCTCTGGGGCATACCTGCAACACAGCACGTCGTATACACTTCACTGACAAAAATAATTTCCTCATTTTAAGGGAAAACAACTCAAATGAAGATTCTCCAGTGAGTGACATGAGAAAATATATTTCTGAATGCTTTTTTGATAACATTAACTAGATCTTATGTTTTTTAAGAAAATGTACATTAGAAATTAATTCTCATTTAAAAATTTGGAAATATTTTCCTACACATTCTAGAAAAGAATTCTTACTGAAGAAATATCTATTAAAAAATAGAAGAAATATTTTCCTACACATTCTTGGAAAGAATTCTTAACAAAGAAATATAGAGAACTATACAGAAGAAATGTTACAATGGGTACAATGTGTGAAGCCCATTTCTGGTGTCCCCGGCCGTGATATTGCTGGAATATTGCTAAAAGCGGCGTAAAACCATACTCACTCACTCACTCACTTTGATATCCTTGATAATAACAAATGTTATTTTTGGTAACAATATCATGTGGCTTGAAAGGTTCAAAGGAAGAAAAAATAAATAAAATTCAATACACAAATTATGGAAGTTGATAATTAATTATTATATGGAATAAAGCTTCAGTGAAGTCTCCCTGAAAGAAGGCTTTTGGACCTTTAGCGAATAATTAAGTTAGGCTTCTCGCCACGTAGAACAGTAGTCTTGTCATAGCCATGTGCGACACAATATCATTCTGAAAACTATACCTGGGGATTCAGAAATTGAAATGGGCATTGTTCATCTGTGAAAAGGAAGGGGACATTTACAGCTGCTAATTACCTAGCTCAGGGTTCAAATGACACGCACTGAGTTCGAGATAAGTTGTTTGTCTAAATCTCATTAAAATCAAATCTTAGTTCTCGCTACCGGTAAACAACGCCCCATTACAGGTCATTTCAGATCGACTTTTCACGAACTTCGACTGACCAATGAAATGACTGACAAGAAGTCGTCATTAACCAATCAGAAGGCTGCTTTCTTGTGCTTTATGGCACTAATTTCAAATTGGCGGCAACGCTTTCGAAACATATTTTGACAAATTCTCGATTAAAAATTTGGTACATGAACAAAAGAACATTCTGGAATGGCTAATAGATGGCCCGCAACTGTCATCCGGAATACCCCATGTTAAATTTTTTTAGCTTGCATGATTAGAAACCACATTCCGACTGTCACTTTTAGGATCTGGTAAGCAAAGCTATGATTGGTCGGATGAAAGATCGTTCTGACGTGACCCCTAATGGGATGACCTCAGATCTTTGTTTAGCAGTAGCGAGAACTGAGATCTTATTTTAATGAGATTGAGACACTTGAGTTTCAACGGGCAACCCCTGAACATCTATCAAATGTGCCCAAATGCATTTCTACCCATGCTATTACACCAACCATTTGATGGGCCATCGACCACCATGTGTAGCCTTGTAATAATCACTCTCTGTCCCCACAGCTCGTGATAGGCCAAAGTCACTGATCTTAATCTGAAAGTGAAGATGAGAAATAAAAATAAATCCATGAATTGTTTGATAGGCATTACTTAGAGTGAGTGAGTGAGTTGGGTTTAACGCCGCTTTTAACAATATTCCAGTTATATCACGGCGTGTCAGCTTAATGTGGGAGGAAAGCCCGAAGTGATGCAGGTCTTCGAGGTTTACCTCTTCGGTGAAACCCACGAGCACAGGTATGGTGCTGACAAACCTAGAAACATAATCCGTGCAAACCGGGATTCGAACCCACAATCATAGGTTTCTGGCGTGCCCAAGGGACGCAACTCTGCATAGCGAATCGCGGCGCCTTAGACAACTGGGCCATCCGTGCCCCCGCATTACTTAGAAGTTGATGGATGACAAAGTAGACACAATTTTATGGATAACATCTTCTTTAATACTGTAAAAATGAAATCCATGTTTCAGATTAATTAACAATACAAAATAGGTCACATCAGGTGACCATCAAACAAGCCAATCATCAGTCAGTCTTCAATATTCTTAGTGCAAATGTACAAAGCATTAAAAGCAGAATATCTAATTTCTATACCTTGAAAGTGAACAGTAACAGGCAGTTCCAAAGGGAAATAATAAAAGCAGAATGTGTGGCTGCTTGTACCTGTCCAGACTAAAGCCGGTTTTATAGTAGCCCACTAAACTAGCATACTGCAGTTTTAACATGGATACCCCAGTCAGATACAGCATACTGACTCCGAGCTGACCTGTCTTTATTATACCCTTAATGCCAAGCGCAAGTTGATGTAACAAGTCCCATCTTTTAACAAGTTTGGGGACGTCAAACCAGGGATCAAACCACCGCCCTTTCACTCTCAGGGCAGACTCTCTATCCACTATGCCATGGAGGTGTCTGCCAAAACAAGTAATGACCCTCTGATTAATTAGTCGACCAACCTGCTTCATATCCTTCAACAGGATGTTTCTGGCAGCCAGATCTCGGTGAACGAGTCTCTGAGTCTCCAGGTACTTCATGCCGTTAGCGATCTGTGCCGCCCACAGGTACAAGTCTGTCTTCACATCAATCTTTTCTTCGTGGTCCAGGAGGAAGTCCAGCATGGACCCCATCGGCACATACTCCTCCACCTGAAGCAGACATTGTGGACACGACATTCAAACAGGCACCGTCTAGCATGTCACAGTTGTCACTCACAGCAGACATTGTCTAGGATGTCACTCACAGCAGACATCATCTAGCATGTCAGTTGTCAGTCACAGCAGACATCGTCTAGCATGTCACAGTTGTCACTCACAGCAGACATCATCTAGCATGTCAGTTGTCAGTCACAGCAGACATCATCTAGCATGTCACTCACAGCAGACATCATCTAGCATCTCACTCACAGCAGACATCATCTAGCATGTCACTCACAGCAGACATCGTCTAGCATGTCAGTTGTCACTCACAGCAGACATCATCTAGCATGTCACTCACAGCAGACATTATCTAGCATCTCACTCACAGCAGACATCATCTAGCATGTCACTCACAGCAGACATCATCTAGCATGTCAGTTGTCAGTCACAGCAGACATCATCTAGCATGTCACTCACAGCAGACATCGTCTAGCATGTCAGTTGTCACTCACAGCAGACATCATCTAGCATGTCAGTTGTCAGTCACAGCAGACATCATCTAGCATGTCAGTTGTCAGTCACAGCGGACATCATCTAGCATGTCACTCACAGCAGGCACCATCTAGCATGTCAGTTGTCAGTCACAGCAGACATCATCTAGCATGTCACTCACAGCAGACATCATCTAGCATGTCACAGTTGTCACTCACAGCAGACATCATCTAGCATGTCAGTTGTCAGTCACAGCAGACATCATCTAGCATGTCACTCACAGCAGACATCGTCTAGCATGTCAGTTGTCAGTCACAGCAGACATCATCTAGCATGTCACTCACAGCAGACATCATCTAGCATGTCACTCACAGCAGACATCATCTAGCATGTCACTCACAGCAGACATCATCTAGCATGTCAGTTGTCAGTCACAGCAGACATCATCTAGCATGTCACTCACAGCAGACATCATCTAGCATGTCAGTTGTCACTCACAGCAGACATCATCTAGCATGTCACAGTTGTCACTCACAGCAGACATCATCTAGCATGTCAGTTGTCAGTCACAGCAGACATCATCTAGCATGTCAGTTGTCAGTCACAGCAGACATCATCTAGCATGTCACTCACAGCAGGCACCATCTAGCATGTCAGTTGTCAGTCACAGCAGACATCATCTAGCATGTCACTCACAGCAGACATCGTCTAGCATGTCACAGTTGTCACTCACAGCAGACATCATCTAGCATGTCAGTTGTCAGTCACAGCAGACATCATCTAGCATGTCACTCACAGCAGACATCGTCTAGCATGTCAGTTGTCAGTCACAGCAGACATCATCTAGCATGTCACTCACAGCAGACATCGTCTAGCATGTCAGTTGTCACTCACAGCAGACATCGTCTAGCATGTCAGTTGTCACTCACAGCAGACATCATCTAGCATCTCACTCACAGCAGACATCATCTAGCATGTCACTCACAGCAGACATCGTCTAGCATGTCAGTTGTCACTCACAGCTAACATCATCTAGCATGTCAGTTGTCAGTCACAGCAGTCATCATCTAGCATGTCACTCACAGCAGGCACCATCAAGCATGTCACTCACAGTAGAAATCGTCTAGCATGTCAGTTGTCACTCACAGCAGACATCATCTAGCATGTCAGTTGTCAGTCACAGCAGACATCATCTAGCATGTCACTCACAGCAGACATCATCTAGCATGTCAGTTGTCACTCACAGCAGACATCGTCTAGCATGTCAGTTGTCACTCACAGCAGACATCATCTAGCATGTCACTCACAGCAGACATCGTCTAGCATGTCAGTTGTCACTCACAGCAGACATCATCTAGCATGTCACTCACAGCAGAGATCGTCTAGCATGTCAGTTGTCACTCACAGCGGACATCATCTAGCATGTCACTCACAGCAGACATCATCTAGCATGTCAGTTGTCACTCACAGCAGACATCATCTAGCATGTCAGTTGTCACTCACAGCGGACATCATCTAGCATGTCACTCACAGCGGACATCATCTAGCATGTCACTCACAGCAGACATCATCTAGCATGTCACTCACAGCAGACATCATCTAGCATGTCACTCACAGCAGACAGCATCTAGCATCTCACTCACACCTACACTACTATAGAGATGACTCCCTGACACTGACCAGCATGAGAGGTGGTCCCTCGCAGACACCCAGCAGACTGAGGATGCAGGCATGTTGGAGAGACTGCATCACTCGGGCTTCAGCCAGGAAACTATTGGCATTCTCCACGGACCCATCATGGAAAGTCTTCAGCGCCACATCTATCTGCAAGTAATATACACACTCCACAGTAAGCATCATCTCACTGCCTCCATGTAAGTCTAGTCTTATACTTGTTTTGGACAAACGACTCTTCTTATTAAATTTTTGTGTTGCATTTAAAGGTTTGACATGACTGATGGCAAAGAACTACTTCAAATCAAATCTGGTTAGAATTATTGAGTCATCCACATGCAAGGGGTAATAAAGTACTCACGGAAATGAAAAAAAACTGTTTTTTCAATCTCAGATTTTAAATAACTGCAGTTAATATACAAAATATATAAATATTCAAACAACTCAATTAGTACTTATTGGGCCTTGGCACAAATACAGCGTATCAAACGTAAAAGTGTGTAAAAATATGAACAAAACAGACTATTGTGAAACTGAGCATAACCAGGTGTGAGTAGATCAAGGTGAATGTCCATGACCTATGACACCTTGACGACAAGTGAAAACAGGTGCTTAAAACCCCCGTGCATGTGATTTGTCAGTGGTTAGTGATTTGTGAGTGGCATTGTGGGATAGTGAATCATCGTCAAAATATCAGAACGTAAAAGTAACATATTCCCTTCTCAAACAACAACTTACATGTCATTATTATTATGTACAGAAACATAGCTGTTATTTTTATTGTTGTTTTGATAACTTTTTTTCCAGGCTAATTTGCATAATGCCTATAGCCTGTTTCTGCCATGTCAATTTGGACTTAGTTTTATTTTTGAATGTTGAAAGTCCCTACAAATTACCTCCTGTGAAGTACATTTTGTATTGAGCACTAGCAAATCCAGACTAGTACTTTTCCATTTGTTTTGTTATTTGGTATTTACATCTACGTAATGCTTTGTGTCGATTATTAAATCCAGCAAAACATTTTTTTTTCATTTCCATGAGTACTTTAGCAACTAGCCAAACATTGTACATGTTGGTTGGTTTGTTGTTTAACACCAAGACAATCCAGTGATTGATATCACGAGCATCGATCCACGCAATTGGGATCGATGACATGCATCAACCAAGTCAGCAAGGCTGGCTGAACGAGTTCACCTACCTTCTCACTCCTGAACGTGCCCTTGTGAATCTTGGCAGACTGGCTGAACGAGTTCACCTACCTTCTCACTCCTGAACGTGTCCTTGTGAATCTTGGCAGTCTGGCTGAACGAGTCGACCTACCTTCTCACTCCTGAACATGCACCTTGTGAATCTTGGCAGTCTGGCTGAACGAGTTCGCCTACCTTCTCACTCCTGAACGTGCCCCTTGTGAATCTTGGCAGTCTGGCTGAACCAATAAACCTACCTTCTCACTCCTGAACGTGCCCCTTGTGAATCTTGGCAGTCTGGCTGAACGAGTTCACCTACCTTCTCACTCCTGAATGTGCACCTTGTGAATCTTGGCAGACTGGCTGAACGAGTTCACCTACCTTCTCACTCCTGAACGTGCCCTTGTGAATCTTGGCACTCTGGCTGAACGAGTTCACCTACCTTCTCACTCCTGAACGTGCCCTTGTGAATCTTGGCACTCTGGCTGAACGAGTTCGCCTACCTTCTCACTCCTGAACGTGCCCTTGTGAATCTTGCCACTCTGGCTGTACGAGTTCACCTACCTTCTCACTTCTGAACGTGCACCTTGTGAATCTTGGCAGTCTGGCTGAACGAGTTCACCTACCTTCTCACTCCTGAACGTGCCCTTGTGAATCTTGGCAGTCTGGCTGAACGAGTTCACCTACCTTCTCACTCCTGAACGTGCCCCTTGTGAATCTTGGCAGTCTGGCTGAACGAGCTGACCTACCTTCTCACTCCTGAACGTGCCCTTGTGAATCTTGCCACTCTGGCTGAACGAGTTCACCTACCTTCTCACTCCTGAACGTGCCCTTGTGAATCTTGGCAGTCTGGCTGAACGAGTTCACCTACCTTCTCACTCCTGAACGTGCCCTTGTGAATCTTGGCAGACTGGCTCAACGAGTTCACCTACCTTCTCACACCTGAACGTGCCCTTGTGAATCTTGGCAGTCTGGCTGAACGAGTTCACCTACCTTCTCACTCCTGAACGTGCCCTTGTGAATCTTGGCACTCTGGCTGAACGAGTTCACCTACCTTCTCACTCCTGAACGTGCCCTTGTGAATCTTGGCAGTCTGGCTGAACGAGTTCACCTACCTTCTCACTCCTGAACGTGCCCTTGTGAATCTTGCCACTCTGGCTGTACGAGTTCACCTACCTTCTCACTCCTGAACGTGCACCTTGTGAATCTTGGCAGTCTGGCTGAACGAGTTCACCTACCTTCTCACTCCTGAACGTGCCCTTGTGAATCTTGGCAGTCTGGCTGAACGAGTTCACCTACCTTCTCACTCCTGAACGTGCCCCTTGTGAATCTTGGCAGTCTGGCTGAACGAGCTGACCTACCTTCTCACTCCTGAACGTGCCCTTGTGAATCTTGCCACTCTGGCTGAACGAGTTCACCTACCTTCTCACTCCTGAACGTGCCCCTTGTTAATCTTGGCAGTCTGGCTGAACGAGTTCGCCTACCTTCTCACTCCTGAACGTGCCCTTGTGAATCTTGGCAGTCTGGCTGAACGAGTTCACCTACCTTCTCACACCTGAACGTGCCCTTGTGAATCTTGGCAGACTGGCTCAACGAGTTCGCCTACCTTCTCACTCCTGAACGTGCCCTTGTGAATCTTGGCAGTCTGGCTGAACGAGTTCACCTACCTTCTCACTCCTGAACGTGCCCCTTGTTAATCTTGGGAGTCTGGCTGAACGAGTTCGCCTACCTTCTCACTCCTGAACGTGCCCTTGTGAATCTTGGCAGTCTGGCTGAACGAGTTCACCTACCTTCTCACTCCTGAACGTGCCCTTGTGAATCTTGGCAGTCTGGTTGAATGAGTTCACCTACATTCTCACTCCTGAACGTGCCCTTATGAATCTTGGCAGTCTGGCTGAACGAGTTCACCTACCTTCTCACTCCTGAACGTGCCCTTGTGAATCTTGGCAGTCTGGCTGAACGAGTTCACCTACCTTCTCACTCCCGAACGTGCCCTTATGAATCTTGGCAGTCTGGCTGAACGAGTTCGCCTACCTTCTCACTCCTGAACGTGCCCTTGTCAATCTTGGCAGTCTGGCTGAACGAGTTCACCTACCTTCTCACTCCTGAACGTGCCCTTGTGAATCTTGGCAGTCTGGCTGAACGAGTTCACCTTCCTTCTCACTCCTGAACGTGCCCTTGTGAATCTTGGCAGACTGGCTGTACGAGTTCACCTACCTTCTCACTCCTGAACGTGCCCTTGTGAATCTTGGCAGTCTGGCTGAACGAGTTCACCTACCTTCTCACTCCTGAACGTGCCCTTGTGAATCTTGGCAGTCTTGCTGAACGAGTTCACCTACCTTCTCACTCCTGAACGTGCCCTTGTGAGTTATCAAAGTGCCCTTCAGCACAGAGCCGTACTCTCCCTGGCCCAGCTCTGAACCTGCACACAGAATGCTCAACTTTAGCTGTGCATGTAACAGTAAGTGATGTCATGTAACAAAGTAGTTGACAATATTCCAGCTCCACGGTCCTCTTATAATCAGCCATGGACCTGTTTGTTTGTTTGTTCATTTGTTGTTTAATGCTGCACTCAGCAATATTCCAGCTATATGATGTCAGTTTGTAAATAATCGAGTCTGGAACAGACAATCCAGTGATTGATATCATGAGCATCAATCCATGGAATTGGAATACGATGACATGCATCAACCAAGTCAGCGAGTCTGATCCCGTTAGTCACCTCTTATGACAAGCACAGTGGCCTTTTACGACAAGAATGGGTTGCTGAAGACCTATTCCACACCGGATCTTCACGGGTGGCCATGGACCTGGTTAGCCTGAACACATGATCAACAACCCCAGCTGTCAGAAACAGTGACACACAATCAGTCAAACCACAACCCTGACAACCTCTACCTGCAATGGGATACTGATGACCTATTGTAAACCAAGTTCCCACAGAATCTTTCATGGAACAAGTTCTATTAGAAAGGAGCATTGTCTTTGTAATACTGACAGATACCATGCACACCGGTGCGGTAGCCTAGTGGTTAAAGCGTTCGCTCGTTAAGCCGAAGACCGAGTCCGATTCTCCACATGGGTACAATGTGTGAAGTCCATGGTGTCCCCCGCCCAGGTGTTGCTGGAATATTGCTAATAGCGGCGTAAAACAATACTCGTTCACTCACTCACAAAATGTGAACTTTAATATACATATGGGAAAAAACTACCAGTATATAGTTTGGTGTGCCATTTTTGTCAACTAATACATATGTGGGCATACACAAGAAGCGAATGTCATGTGGTACTCCAGGACTGGAAGACTTTTGGTGGTGCTTGATAATGTCCTCTATTATTCCATCCATCCGAGACGCGGCTCCTATACCTCTTAATAATAGTCTTGATTCTCAGGCACAGCCCACATCATCATAAAGGCTGCCACATGTTTCATTTTTATTTCCATTTTCACAAAAAACAAATCTTTAAATTTTCCGCGTCTCAAACACATGACCCCAGCAGTGAAATGCTACAATACTTAAGGACAACATAATTTTGCTGAAATTATTGTAAACAAAATTTGGTTACATACTAGTTTGAACACCCCCCCCAAAAAAAACACCACCACCCACCCGCCTGCACACTATTGTCAAAAGCCATTGCCTAAAAACCAGAGAGCCTTACCTCTTTTGATTTTCGAAAGTGGGATCATTGTTAAATTTGTTTGCTGCGGTTCTGCATCTGCCGGCTTCCGATTGGGGATTGGCTGAAACAAACATGGCCGACTATGAGCAGCTGTATGGACAGTAGTCGGGTCAATATAGTGTCAAATCCTACCAAACCCACCACAAATTGCAACAGAAATTATTTCTCCTGTTTCATGAACAGAAAACATCCCCTTACAACATAGTAAAAATCTAGGAAAATCTAAGTTGGGGAAAATTGTTTAGTTTGGGGTTGATCTTTAGGGGTAAATCAATACAAAATACAAAAAAAATTTTTTTGTTTAACCATATCATATTATATATCAAATGAAAGCTTGTGTCACAAGCAGTCCTTTTGTATCTATATCATTTCTGTTGCAATTTGTGGTGGGTCTATAGTTATTTTGACCGGACTACAGTCTAGTCCAAAAATCTGCAAATAATTGACAATCTCATTAAAATCAGACTTTTACTCAAATTTGACACCACTCACAAAGACTTTTTTTACCTGTATTTATAATAATGTGACCTATAAATAGGACCTGTCAGCCAGTGTGACTCACCCCAGCAGGCACCGGCGGCGTGACAGGGTCGGGCGTAGTTGGGTTGTTCTTGTTGGGTGCGGAGTACAGATCGTCAGTGGGTCTCGGAGGAAGCCCTGGAGGATCTGCAAGATAATTCAATAATGCAACCTCCATCCCTCTTTGTTTGTTTACAGGTCAGGAGGAACATGGATTTGTTTGCTTGTAGGCCAGGAGGAACATGGATTTGTTTGATTGAAGGCCAGACCAGGAGGAACATGGATTTGTTTGATTGAAGGCCAGACCAGGAGGAACATGGATTTGTTTGACTGTGGGCCAGGAGGAACATGGATTTGTTTGACTGTAGGCCAGAAGGAACATGGATTTGTTTGTTTGTTTACAAACCAGGAGGAACATGGATTTGTTTGACTGTGGGCCAGGAGGAACATGGATTTGTTTGATTATAGGCCAGGGGGAACATGGATTTGTTTGATTATAGGCCAGGGGGAACATGGATTTGTTTGACTGTAGGCCAGGAGGAACATGGATTTGTTTGATTGTAGGCAAGGAGGAACATGGATTTGTGTGATTGTAGGCCAAGAGGAACATGGATTTGTTTGATTGTAGGCCAAGAGGAACATGGATTTGTTTGATTATAGGCCAGGGGGAACATGGATTTGTTTGACTGTAGGCCAGGAGGAACATGGATTTGTTTGATTGTAGGCCAGGAGGAACATGGATTTGTTTGATTGTAGGCCAGGAGGAACATGGATTTGTTTGATTGTAGGCCAGGAGGAACATGGATTTGTTTGATTGTAGGCCAGGAGGAACATGTATTGTTTGATTGTAGGCCAGGAGGAACATGGATTTGTTTGACTGTAGGCCAGGAGGAACATGGATTTGTTTGACTGTAGACCAGGAGGAACGTGGATTTGTTTGTTTGTAGGCCAGGAGGAACGTGGATTTGTTTGTGTGTAGGCCAGGAGGAACATGGATTTGTTTTATTGTAGGCCAGGCGGAACATGGATTTGTTTGTGTGTCTATAGACCAGGAAGATATGAACCAAGAGGAAACTTTGGTCTGTCTTCAGACCAGGAGGAACTTAGATGTGTTTGTATGTCTCCAGACCAAGAGGAACTTTGCTCTGTCTATGGACCAGTGGTCACTTTGATTTGTTTTTTCACTTACAGGTCGAGCGGAATTTTGATTTATTTCCAGACATGGTGTTTACCTGGCTGAGATATTGGTCTTGGATAGCTGTTGTCTGACGTGTGCGCTCTTGGCACTATTACTTCAATTACTCTCTGAGCTGAGAACAAAGAAAATTATGAATGATAATAAATCCATCAATATTTGTTCAGTGTATAAATATTTAATCTTATCTGTTCTCATTGACTATAAAGGTCAGAGTGACCTTGTAAACTTTCCGCCTCTTCAGTAAGGTTTCACAACTATTATCATTTATTCGTACAGGGTTTAATTTCTGCAATACCTTAGGCTTTAAGTCCATTCACACTGAGGCATCAATATGTCATAATTGTATGTATATATCCAACAGACAAGGGGAGTCAGAGTGTGTGCAATTTCATCAAAATCAGATATTTTACTCAAATAAAATACCTCTGACTGTCCAATCTGAAGCCAATCACATGTCAGCATTCTGAAAGAATTTGGCTTCATATCTTTACCAGAGTAAAAGATCTGATTGATTTGGACATGTCTGCAGCCGAGTCTAGTAACATATTGTTCGGACTATTAGCCTCAGAATAATTATTGTCCATACCAGTTTATAACATGAAAGCCTACTGACAATTTTGCTGAGAGCAGTTTAGGCTTGCCCACTATTTGCCAAAGACTATGAGTTGTTCCTACAGTGCTTTTAGCAACATTCCAGCAATATCACATCACCAGAAACCAAAACTAGCTTCACACACAACAAGGAATAAAACCCAGTACTTGAGCATGATGAGTGACCACTTTAACCACTACCCCACCGCCCCAACAGAGAAAGTCGAGTGCGTACTTGAGTTGAGGGACGCTGTGAGCATACAAGGCAGCCCGTCCATCTGTCGGGTGTAGTGGTAGACCACATGTTCCAGGGACAGCAGGTATGGGCCGTCGTCGATGAAGTGAACCAGACGCCCCTCGTAGTCCTGCGCAGAAAACAGACATGACCATGCATGAATACATGACACCTTTTTATGACTAACAACTTATTTTATTATCTGTAACAACGTTTGACAGGTACTTAAAGCTCCTTCGGGGGCACGGGCGGCCCAGTCGTGAGTGAGTGTTTTATGCAACTTTTAGCAATATCCCTCGGCTTCACACATTGTAACCATGTGGGGAATTGAACCTGGTCCTTCGGTGTGACGAGGGAGTATGTAGCAGGGCATGGAGTCATCCCATAGATGACATCATTACCTTGTCAGCTTGCTGTTTGGGTTGGCGTTCTTTGGTCATATGGACAAGGCATCCGACCTCAGAAGGTCCGTGGTTCGAACCCCATCACGGGACTCAGAAAATTGATGGCCGCTACGCATACATGATGATATTGTACAATGGGCAGGAAGAAGCTTTGATATGCAGAGCTCCAGATAAGCTGCGTATCTGCGTAAAATACGCATCAGAAATGCAGTAAAATAAAATCCAAGCGTATCAAATACGCAACGAACATTACAGATAAGCTACAAAAATAAAACTTGTGCGTATCATCCAAATATTGTGAAGTAACCCGGCATATTCGATTAGCAAATCAGCAACTTATTTTGAAATTATAAATGGGCATTCGGTCAACCTTGCCAAATTCCACGATGACAGTTACATCACGATCATTTGCCATCACTTTTTCTTGTGGAAGTATCGTGGTTTTTTTTAGTCCTATAAAGCTCTCGAACCCACACGACACCAGTTTGCAGGGACTAGATGAATAGTGTTTTTTAAATATTTAACTTAAATACCCACATGTGTAAAAACTAGTGGGTAACAGAAATCTGAATACTCAGATAGAATTACTGATACCCAATGATTTTAAAATGCATGGGTAAAATACCCACAACACCGAAAGCTTATCTGGAGCTCTGGAAATGTCATTACAAAGAACAAAAGAAGCTGTTATCCATAAAGAAGTGTTATGTGTTCATGTTCTTCTAAAAGCATATCAAAGACTTCATGACCAAACATGCTCCCAGTAGTCAGAAGGAGAGAGTTGTGTTTAACGCCGCTTTAAACAGTATTCCAGTTATATCGCAGCGTGTCAGCTTCGTGTGGGAGGAAAGCCCGAAGTGATGCAGGTCTCAGACGTTTACCACTTCGGTGAAACCCACAAGCACGGGTATGGTGCTGACAAACCTAGAAACATAATCGGGGCGAACCGGGATTCGAACCCACAATCATAGGTTTCTGGCGTGCCCAAGGGACGCAACTCTGCACAGCAAATCGCGGCGCCTTAGACGACTGGGCCACCCGTGCCCCCCAAACCATGGAAACATATAGAGAAGTAATACTACCGCAGTAAGTAGTGACATTGACAATGCATTGGAATACTTTTATTTAAAGCACAGGAGGTCAAAATGGCCGACACGGTCAACAAACAACATGGCAGGGGATATATTTGTTGTCAGTGAGCTTGTTGTCACTATAAGCGTTAGTCATTATCATCATGAACATGTGTCATATTGAAGTCAATTATATTGCTGTGGGATGACACTATGACTGGCAGTCTATGCATGGATTGAGTTGATAGAATGGTTTCTTGAGATGATATTCAATCACATGCATGCAGTCAAACGCTCTGACTTTTTCCAGTGCATGCAAAAATGCTGAATTTTTATTTCTTAATGATCAGTAACAACGCTTCTGTGTTTATTCATGACAGGGAATTGCCTGGTTTTCCTCAGGAATGTGACAGCAGTTTGTCAGTGTTTACATCACGTCAATAATAGTCTCGCATCGTTGACATCAACATCAAATTATAGAGTTCATATACTTATGGAAATCAGTTTCGCTGTCATGTGACCGGTCTTTCATACAATGGAATAGATGTCCTATAAATCTTGAAATTACTGTAAATCTTGAAATTAACACGAGTGTGAATTAAATGCGGAAAAAAATGCGAGTGGTCTTTGCTCGGATTAATTAACAGCACATTTATGTCTCCAAATGACTATCAACAATAAGACGGCCTCACTGCACACTTAGGATAGCGGCAATACCAACTTGAATATAAACACAAAACATGGTTTTTAGAGCAGCTATTACAACAAGTATATAACAATGTCATTTAAAGAATAGGAATGACACATTGGCCATCCGGTGAGTTATCACTGCCCGGGTCAAGAGTTCTACCCACTCATGTCAAGCTTCCTGACACCTTTGCCGCATACCAATCAGTGAACTGTGGTTGGTTCAATTATTTTATTGCCTTTGAACTTCCTCAATGCCAGTCAACAGAGTAAACATATAAACTGTGTATTGTTTTTAGGAAAACACTGTTTATTGTTTTAACAGAGGTGCTCTACTAGCGCTAATAAGTGCTATTTTCTGTTTGATTGGATTAAGGTAAGGATGTGTATCATTCCACTGGGGATGGGGTGGGGGGAGTCGCATTGATATTGAGTCGCAGGAGATGCATTAATTTCCAGATTTTCAGTAATGCGAGCGTGAATTAAATGCGAGTGATCTTTGCTCGCATTAATTAAACTTTGCAATTATGTCACCAAAATGACAATCAACAATAAGACGGCCTCACTGCACACTTTGGATAGTGGAAATACCAACTTGAATATTAACACAAACAACTATCTATTCCACGTCACGGTTTATTGAGCAGCAGTTGTGACAAGTACCCGGTATTTAACATATATCTACAGCCTTTGTCTAGTCATCTGCCTTCAAATTTGTTGACACCTCTGGATACCAATCAGTGAACCGTTGTAACGGTTGTTGGTTCAATTATCTTATTTCCTTTGAACTTCCTTAATGCCAGTTAGCAGAATAAACGGATAAACTATGTGTTGTTTTTAGGAATACTTTATTGTTTTTACGGAAGTATTCTACTCAGTGCTACAAAATGGTGCTGTTTGCTGTTTGATTGGATCAGGTAAGGATGGAAGAAGGTAAGGATTTATATCATTCCACTAATAAATATTGAGTCGCATTTCTGGCTAGGGGCCAATAGTCGTATTAATTTGGAGATGCATTAATTTTAAGATTTACCTAAATCATGTTTTATTATACCTCAAAGTGAGATTAACCAATCAGAGAGCAGAGCTCCTGACCCCACATGAGCCTGTATACCGTCAGTAAAAATCCAAGATGGTTGTTACTGACCTAATATGAGACGGTATACCGTCAGTAACAGCCATCTTGGATTTTCCAACACCCATCTCATATATTTCACATGGAAATGCTGGTACCAAAATTTTGTTAATTAACTCTGTTTGTGTTTTACTATCATTAATTGTGATAGGCAAGGATGTTAATCTGTTTTTTAGATCACATTCGTGACTTTATTGATAAAGATTATTGTTAAAATTTTCAACAAGGTTTGGTCTCTTAAGATTGAAGAGTGGTCTCCCTTTGACATCAGCAATGGCTGTCAAGCACTTTGCTAGTAGCACCGATGAGGAAATCTCCAATAAAAGGCAAAATGTGCGATATGGATACCAGAGAGTGTTAACTTTTCAGAATAATAAATTCGTTATGGTGTCTTTAGTTGCCGTATACAGTGTCATATTAGGTTAGCAGAATAATATTGGGCTCGGTGACACCTCGCTGATATGACACTGTAAACGGCAACGAAAGACACAATAACTAATAACATTTCACTTTAAACAATAATAATTGCATAACTGGGGTAATCATTAACTGACAAGAAGCGTGTAATGACAGCGGCAAGGGTCCCAGTCACCTACCTGGTTCCTGATCTCGTAGTTGAAGGCCGCTCGACTGTGACACAAGCTGAGCACATGCCAGCCAAAATGTTTCTTGCTTGGTCGAATCAAAAACAGTCCTTCTCTCATCCCGTGAAATTCAAACATCTGCATCGCTCCCTGTGTAAGAAAAGCAGGTACAACTCGTGGTTGACATCCAACATCAGTGTTCGAAATTAAGAACGGTCCCGGGGTCCTTACTGTATTTGAACAAGGGTTGGTTGGTTGGTTTGTTGTTAAATGCCGCACTCAGCAATATTCCAGCTATATGATGGCGGTCTGTAAATAATCGAGTCTGGACCAGACAATCCAGTGATTGACATCATGAGCATCGATCCACGCAATTGGGATCGATGACATGCATCAACCAAGTCAGTGAGCCTGACCACCCGATCCCGTTAGTCGCCTTTTACGACAAACATAGTCACCTTTTACAGGCAAGCATGGGTTGCTGATGACCTATTCTACCTCGGAATCTTCACGGGTCCCTTAAATACTGGATGATTATCATAAGCATTATGAGATGGGCTCCTTGACTGTCATAATAAATTTCCAACACTGCTCATCATAGCTTTTATAGTACACAGCCTTCGAAATTCACACTTGTCCACAAGTCCAAGACAACTAAATTGTGATTAGGACAACAACAAACTTTATGATGGTATTTCTCAATGGCTATTAATATTTGTGGGCTATATAGCAAATTTTAATCTAAGTGTTGACAAAAGTAGCAAATATCCAAGGTTCATTCGAAATCATTCTGCCAACTTTTTCAGTGTGTAAACAGTTATAACCAGTGTCTTGAATGTAAAAGTAGTGACGTCATTTGATTGTGATGTCATAGTAACCGATGATGTCATAATGGTCTGCAAGGCACTGCGCTGCAATTTCATGATAGTGACAACAATAAGCATATATCGAATTACCTCACCAAAGTGATATCTCCCATGAAAGCAAGTTCTTGATGATAAAATTTCTTTGGCAGTTCTCCATTCTGTAATTTCACTAGTAATAAGTCAGGCAGAGCTAGCTACGAGTGAGTGAGGTAGGTTTAACGCCGCCTTTAACACTTTTACAGTTATATCGCGGCTTGTCAGCTTAATGTGGGAGGAAAGCCCAAAGTGATGCAGGTCTCAGACATTTACCACTTCAGTGAAACCCACGAGCACGGGTATGGTGTTGACAAACCTACAAACATAATCGGGGCGAACCAGGATTTGAACCCACAATCATAGGTTTCTGGCGTGCCCAAAGGACGCAACTCTGCACAGGGAATCGCGGCGCCTTAGACGACTAGACCACCCGTGCCCCTGAACTAGCTACGAATTCTGAGAACAAGTGACATAATATATCACTCATCCCTCTGGACTGATCTTTCAAAACATATTTCTAAGGCAATGTAACATGGCAAAGTACTCTGTAACTCTTAGAAATTTTGTCATTGTGCATCAATTTTGGCTTGATTTCACTGAAGGCAACGATTCCTGGATCACGGTCAAGACCAAGGATGAACTAACTATCAACGAATATGGTAGACACGGACGTCGGGCAAGGGTAATTTAAAACCATGCACTTCGTTACACCTACCTGTCGATCTAGTTCTGCATGGAACCAATCCGCCGGTTTGGTCTCCATATCATGAATTTCATAATTTTCTGAAAATAGAAATAACATAAGCCAACGGAGCTTCTACAAACTACAGTCAGATTGAGGCAAAAGCAAAATATTGCAATATAACAAAGTCCAATTTAATTAAACAATTGCAAAATTGATTATTACACCAACTCAACATTTATGTTCTGAATCAATGTGACTTAATTAAATAAGCTATCACATAAATGTTGAACATAACCATTGCCAGATAATTAAGATCTCAAAGAACTATTCCTCCTTGGGAAACCAACAGAACTTCAAAAAGAACCAATTTCAAAATGAAATAAGACCCTATAAATAAGGCACATGTGACGATCACATCGATAATCAAGGTCTATATTGTAAAAGAATGGGACTTAATTCGCAAAGTGCACCAAATCATGTGAGCGCCTTGATTAAAAACATGCAAAGATTTGGAAAAAATTGTTTGATGCTGAGTTGGTGGTACACATGCATTACAAAGCCGGAAATCGACTGAAATCTGGATGTCAGTTTCGTTACGCGGTTTTGATTGGACTATACATAGACTCATTTGTCCAGACAAAATGTAACTCCATAATTCCAGCCTGGTTCAGGCAAAGGGTGGAATCTGGACTTTTTTAGAAAGTTAACTCACTTGCCTCTCGAAGATGGAAGAAACCAGGTCTTTGAAATAACTGGATTAAAGTCCTTAAGAAGTTCTGACATGAGCTTTCAGTTTGTTTGTTTGTTTGTTTGCTTGTTTGTTAACCAAAATGAATGCATAACAGAGGGATGCCACCGTAACAAATTCTTCCAAGTTAAATTTTGTACCACTTCCAAATGCAGTTTTCTTCAAACACTACATCAAAACATGACATCAAACCATGACATCAAACCATGACATCAAAACATGACATCAAACCATCAGGACCACACATAAAATCCTTCCTAATTAGAAATTGCTAAATTCATTAAATAAATTTATCAATTAACAAACTCGTTGTTCAAAACATCACTCTATTTAACATTTTAAAAAAATCCTTTTTTACTTAAATTTCCTTCACTGCAATAATGTTAAGCTGTTTGCAAAATGAGAGTAATTTACTTCACTATCAATATTCACATTACATACATGTTTATATACAACAGATATATTTTTCCAGAATTTAACTGCCCATAATTAAGGGTGCATATAACACACGAGTGCGTATTATACACGAATAAATAAGTCTTGTGTACATTGATCAAGGGCAGGGCACTTATTACGTCCAATACTGTGCAACGAGTGATATTTGTGTCAAGAGATTGAGCAGTAGTGAACAAACTTATTCAAACTAGAACTAGAACTTTTCAATAATAGTGAAATAATAGTGAAATAGTGAAATGGGGTTTAACGTCGTGTCCAAGATTATTGCACTTATATAGCGACGTGCATGCACAGGTGTGTGTTTGTGTGTGTGGCTGCTTGTACTAGTCCAGACTGATGCCGATTTATAGTGCTAGCCCACTGAGATACCTTCCACAGCTTAACATTAATATCCCACTCAGACACAGTATACTGACTCGAGCCGACCAGTCCTTGGTCTGGCCGAGCGCCAGACAGGGTAACAACAAGTACCATTTTTTAACGTCTTTTGGTATGAGGCGGCTGAGGATCACACCCCAGACCTTCCGCTCTCCGGGCGGACGCTTGACCACTAGACCACAGAGGCGGTCCCCAATGCATGTGTAATATACACAAGAAAATATGGACTGTTGTGTACAAGTTTGGTCTTAAGGAGGTGCTTACTGGTCTAGATTGGTCCAGAAGTTGGTCAGGGAGCACTTATTGGAACAGCACAATATACGGTGAATATGGTATCTATTGTCAGCCAGTGTTGATCTCGACTTACTGAAGTGGTTGATGCACTCCCTTCTCCCGTATGTTTTCGCCAATTCTAGAGGGGTCAGCTTGTCATCATTCCGGGGAAATGGAGTGGCATCGTTTTCTAATAGCACCTGTTACAGAAAATCAAAATAATAGTTAGTGAGTGAGTTGGACTTTTAACATTATTCCAGTTATATCATGGCATGTCAGCTTAATGTGGGAGGAAAGCCCGGAGTGATGCAGGTCTCAGACGTTTACCACTTCGGTGAAACCCACGAGCACGGGTATGGTGCTGACAAAACTTGAAACATAACTTGGGCGAACCAGGATTCGAACCCACAATCATAGGTTTCTGGCGTGCCCACGCAACTCTGCATAGCGAATCGCGGCGCCTTAGACGACTGGGCCACCCGTGCCCCCCAACCATTGACAAGGCAAAAAGTGAGCAGGACTCACTGATACCCCCGCCCTCCACTCCAACATCAGCCGAAGAATAATTTGATATTGGAGATAGACTGATGCCTTGAGGTTTCAGCCGGTTTATCATTAAAAGCACGATAATATAATACAGTAATGGCATGAGTCAAACATTCACTGGTGCAGCATCAGCATGCTTTGCCTGATATGGAACACTTGACATGTATAAAGTAATATTTTCTCAGCAATATTCCAGCTATATGACGGCGGTTTGTAAATAATCGACTCTCGACCAGACAATCCAGTGATTGACATCATGAGCATCGATCCAAGCAATTGGGATTGATGACATGCATCAACCAAGTCAGCGAGCCTGACCACCCGATCCCGTTAGTCGCCTCTTACGACAAGCATAGTCGCCTTTTTCAGCAAGTATGGGTTGCTGAAGACCTATCCTACCCCGGATCTTCACGGGTCAGGGGACATGAGATGGTACTTGCCTTGATACAGTTGATGTGGCCCCGCATGGCAGCTTCATGGAGCGGCACCCAGCCTGTCTGAGAGCACCGTTCTGAAGTGAGGCTCCGACCCTTCTTTATCAGCAGTTCCACTACCCGTGGTTGGTTGGCCACGCAGGCCCTCTGTGAACATGACAGATTGTTTGTTTGTTTGTTGTTAAATGATGCACCCAGCAATATTCCAGCCATATCATACTGCCTACAAATAATCAAATCTGGACCAGACAATCCAGTGATTGACCTCATGAGCATCGATCCACAAGTAATCGGTGAAGGCACTGAGCCTGCACTATTACGACAAGCATAGGTTACCGAGGACCCGTTCTTCCCGGAATCTTCAGGATGACAAGACTCTCAGCAAAATATCTTGATGTTTGACACCAAACATGCACTATCATATTAAAACATTATGCAGTATTTTCTTGTGTTTTAAATTTTTTTATCTTTTCATATGGCATGATATGTGTTATAGGCCTTTATTTGAAAGTTTTACAAGATATTTTTGAAACATATTCTTCTCTTATCACACAGGAAGTAGTTTCCATCAATTGCAGGGTTTTACATGACATGTAAGTTCTCTGCATTAGACAAAATAATTCCCTATACTCGCAAATGTTTTGATAAGAGATGCAATACATTTGTGAAGGAAATCTTAATTTAGATTGAGTAATCACAATAAAAAAAATTAAATACTGACTTTACAATATGTTGTTTGAAATAAATCAAATCTACAAACTTTCAGAATTAAATTAGGCTGAAATAACTGCAATATGAATGCAGTGTTACTATGGTTATGATACAAAGTTAATATACCTGTGAAATTAAGAACACAAGAAATCCCAACTTTGAACATCTGACCAGTTTTTCTCAGTTTCCCCAACTTCACTTACATATGGCTTAAATTCTGGTTCACTTGCAAGATCACTAGACTTAACAAACATGGTCCAAATTCTGGTTCACTTACAAGACCCGTAGACTTAACAAACATGGTCCAAATTCTGGTTCACTTACAAGACCCGTAGACTTAACAAACATGACCCAAATTCTGGTCCACTTGCGAGATCAGTAGACTTAACAAACATGACCCAAATTCTGGTCCACTTGCGAGGTCAGTAGACTTAACAAATATGGTCCATATTTTGGTCCTCTTAACAAACATGGTCCAAATTCTGGTTCATTTGCGAGTTCAGTAGGCTTAACAAACATAACCCAAATTCTAGTCCACTTGCAAGATCAGTAGACTTAACAAACATGACCCAAATTCTAGTCCACTTGCAAGATCAGTAGACTTAACAAACATGACCCAAACTCTAGTCCACTTGCGAGATCAGTAGACTTAACAAACATGACCCAAATTCTAGTCCACTTGCAAGATCAGTAGACTTAACAAACATGACCCAAACTCTAGTCCACTTGCGAGATCAGTAGACTTAACAAACATGACCCAAACTCTAGTCCACTTGCGAGATCAGTAGACTTAACAAACATGACCCAAACTCTAGTCCACTTGCGAGATCAGTAGACTTAACAAACATGACCCAAATTCTGGTTCACTTGCGAGATCAGTAGACTTAACAAACACGACCCAAATTCTGGTTCACTTGCGTGTTCAGAAGGCTTCACCTACATGTAGTGCGGTGTGTCCGTTAGTGTCCTTGATCTTGACATCAGCCCCTCTGTCCAGCAGTTGAGCCACAATTTCATAGTAGCCATGGAAGGCTGCATCATGGAGGGCTAGGGAACCTGCAACATACACACGGAACCAGTCACAGCAAACTGGGATACTGCAGAACACAGTACATTTCCCTACCATGTTTTTCAAAGTTGAGTTTCAAAACATATTCTAAAAGATAAGTGAAAAGTGAAAAGGACAGCAGATTACTTTGCTATGAAAGCCCTCTCAATACTGTTTTCCAACCAATCTCATCAGATTGGTTTAAAGATTTGTCTTGGAGCCGCGGGGTAGCCTAGTGCTTAAAGCGTTTGCTTTGTCTTGCAGAAAGCTTGGGTTCAATTTCCCTGTAGGGGCAAAGTTTTAATCCCATTTCTGGTGTCTTCCAATGTGACATTGCTGTAATAGTGCTAAAAGCGGAGTAAACATATACTGTAAATCTTGAAATTAACGCGAGCGTGAATTAAATGCGAAAAATACGAGTGGTCTTGGCTCGCATTATTAAACATCGCAATTATATCAACAATAAGACATTTTGTTTAGCAGAAATACCAACTTAGACATATGCTGAAAACAAACAACTATGTTTTCCACATCACTGTTTATTGAGCAGCACTTGTAACAAGTATATAAACAATGTCATTCAAACACTAATTACATCCTGTGAATTGTCACTGCTTGGGTCATGACAAGAGTTCTACTCACTTACGTCATCACTGATCACACCTGCAAGTCCAGACAGACGCCACCCAAGCAACACAGTGTCTTTGTTCTTTGCGACTGCGTCAAAGGCCGACACGAGTGTTTTAGCGGATGTACACTACTCAGCGCTAATAAGCAGTTCTATTTGGTGCGTGATTGGATTAATGTAAGGTTTGATTAAGGTGAGGATTCTCCAGTAAATCTGACAGAGGACATTTTCTTTATTCTTCATATCCACTGATGCTTGAGAGGAGGGGTTGTCGCATTCATATTGAGTCACATTTTTGGCCAGGGGCCAGCGGTCGCATTCTTTTGGAGACGCATTAATTTCACGATTTACGGTACTCACTCACTCACTCACTCACTGTGTTTTGTCAAAACTAATTAAATGTAACAGATGACCTAGCACCCCTTGGTTCATTTGTGTAAACTGTGGCAGCACGTAGAGTCTGGTTACCAATATATCTGTTAAATGGTCATTATTTCCATTACTATGGTTACTCACCAATCTTATTTTTGGCATTAACATCTGGGCAGGTACTATATGCCAATATTCTCTTAACAACATCTTTTTTACCTGCAAACAGAAACAGAAACAATGTCATCCAGGTAAAAAAAACATGCTTGCTGTATTAGCAGAATCAGGCTACAGTACAATGGAAACATTAAGAATTCACGCTAAAAGTCTTAAAAAACAACAACATTAATTTGACCTATGAAAATAGTCTGTTGCTTAACAATAAACTTTTTTTTTATGGTGTTCTCATATTTCTGAGGAAACTTGAGATATACATCCTTCTTAACAAGAAGGAAATAAGCGTAGCACTTTGGTACAGGTGGTATGCAGGATATTTTTACGTATGGAACAATTTCACCAGTCACTGTAGGGACTTCCGACGCGACATGTATTTCGATTGCGAAAACATTATGTTGACATTTAATAGTCAAACTGCAACAAATATGACTTTTAGCGAGTCACGGTACGCCATTTATGATATGTGCATCCATTCTCTTGCAACTAAAGTTTCAAGGCATCAATAGCTATAATCTGACGGTGGTTGCTGTATATAACGGTGGGTTGTGCGATCTACCGATCACTTCGCATACCATTTCGCCAAAATTATTGTAAACATTATTATAATTATTGAATAAAATTAATAAAATATATTGCAAACATTAGTCCAGATAAACAATGAACAACTTTTTTATTACCAGATATTATAATAATAGGATTAAATTGCATACTTCAGTTCGGATTTGTTGACTGGTATTTCCGGTGTTATGTGATCGCAGTGATCAGCTGATAATGTTTTCAGACATGGGGGAAAACATCGTGTCATTGGAAAATTTGAGTTTATCAAAAATGTTTGTAAATTTCGGGAGCCATGCTTTAACGCGCGATATAACCGAGTTAGCGCTATATTGAAGAGCGCAATAGCGGGGGAACACTGTAGTACTAATTGAACCCTAATGTACACTTGACACATTTCTTCAAAGTTTCCTTTAGTATAATCTGCTGAGTCATCAGTAATCACATCCATGACAAACATCAGCCCTCAAAACCACCAGACGATTGGGACATTATCAGTAACCATGACATCACAATCAAATGACATCACTCATCACTCTTTTAATGAAGCTGCTTATTATTATTTACAAACTGAAAATACTGGACGAATGATATAAGATGATAAATAGAGTCTGATGATATCGAATGTATCAACACTTGTTGATAAACATTTAAAGCTCCCGGGTTTGCAGACATCAAAGGACACCAGGTGAGATTCTCTACATCTTCCATCACCATGGTGCAGGGCGAGGTGCTCCTCCAAACTGGTTACATCTGTTGACAGCACCTACCCTCTAGAACTGCCCGATGCAACAGATTGTTGGGTCCGAACTTCCGACAGGTATTCGGTGGTATTGACCCTCGGCAGAAGCTGCTGAGTTTGGTGGGAAGTCCGTTTGCCATACCTGTGTAGTGAGTGACCAATTTGTCCAAACCTGGAAATAATTCAATACAGCAGTTGAGGCATTTTATTTCTTATGCTTAGTTTATGGCTGATGTTCAAAAAAAAAAAATTAAATTGCAAAAATGTTCTTTTGGAGAGGCCATAAAATAGAATAAACTGTAACAAAAATAAAATACATAACCAGGTTTACAACTATCAAAGCATAGTGAGTGTGTTGGGTTTAATGCCATTTCTAACAGTATTCCAGTTATATTACGGCGTGTCAACTTGATGTGGGAGGGAAAGTGTGAAATAAAGAGCTGGCGATTCCTGTAAGCCAATGAATACATATACAAATTACTGGGGAGGTCGGGTAGCCTAGTGGTTAAAGCGCTTGGTCGTCATGCCGAAGACCCGGTTTGATTCCCGACATGGGTATAATGTGTGAAGCCCATTTCCGGTATCCCCCGCTATGATATTGCTGGAATATTGCTAAAAGCGGCGTAAAACAATACGAGTCACTCACTAAACAAATTACTAATGGGCACCATGCATTAATAGTTTGTTTGTCAATCAATGCCGCTCTCAGCAATATTCCAGCTGTATGATGGCAGCCCATAAATAATCAATCCTGGACCAGACAATCCAGTGACTGATATTGTGAGCACCAATCAAAGTCTTCAGGGTTAGATGACACACAATCAACCAAATTACCAAGTCTGACCACCCAATCAATTTAGTGGATCTTACGACCAGCATAGGTTGCTAGGGAACAATATTCTAACCCAGAATCCCCATGGGGTTTGAGTTTATGGTTGGTTATATGGTATAAATACTTGATGTCTGATGCAATTCCCTAATTTGACCATGTTGACTAGTACCATATGTGCCCATGTTTCTTTAGATGAACAGCTGTCTTGCCTTTGCATGTGTTTGTGTCAGGTGCTTCCAGTGGTGCAGGATATGCTCACCTTTTCGATGGTATCATCACTATTTGGATGTTATTCATAAAGACACACTTATGCCATGTATGATATTGTCGGAAGATTTCGTACAATGGATTTCTTTTGATGATGGAAATATTTATTGTCGCTTTTATTTCTTATGATTATGAGTATTTTGGATGAGAATTATATGAAATATGCAGGATTATCTCACCTTACATTAAAATACTAGCTTCTGATTGGTGAAGGAGCAGACAATTATTTTCCATGTATACCACTGAGAAATCAATCAGGACACATCGTAGGTAACTTGCATATCTCGAATAAGTATCATTTAGTTGAAATGAACGGATGTTTATCTGAATGCATTAAGCAAAGGGAGGTAACTCGGTTCGCTTGCGTCGTCAACTACAAGTTGCTGACTCAGTGAAATTCCGAATTATAAATGAACGTCAGTAAGATAAATTCATTGTCTATTGTTGCGTCATGTTGTTAAACTCTGGTTCCTACAGGTAATACGCCTCCATCTGCAACAATGTGTGGACATGATGACCAGATGCTTACCATGGATGATGGGTCCATCGTCAATGCGGTAGAAGCACTCACACGTCTGCTGCACCTGGAAGTGGAATATCTTCCCCTTGCACACCAGCGACAGAGCGAAGTCATTGCCGGACACGGTGCTGTCTCGGATCAGGAACAGACCACTCATATCACCCTGCTTCTGCAGCCCTGAAACCAACAAGTAGTGTTAGAGGTCACCATCAAGTTATACCCAAAGGCTTCCAGATCTTAAATAACACATGACATCATTTCACCCTCTTTCTACAGCCCTGAAACCAACAAGTAGTGTTAGTAGGTCACCATCAAGTTATACATAAAGGCTTCCAGATCTTAAATATCACATGACATCATATAGCTAGAATATTGCTGAGTGCGGCGTTAAACAATAACCAACCAACAAACCACATGAAATTAGAGCACCCTGCTTCTGTAGCCCTGAAACAACCACCAAATCAGTTAGAGGTCAATATCAAGTCATACCTAAAGCCTTTCAGATCTTATATATCATGTGACATCATATCACACTGTAGCTAACAGCAAGTCAGAGGTCACCTAAACATGCTAAAGGCTTCCAGATCTCAAATATCACATGACATCATTTCACCCTGCTTCTGTAGCCCTGAAACCACCAGTACGTCAGTTAGAGGTCACCATCAAGTCATACCTAAAGGCTTCCAGGTCTTAGATATCATGTGACATCACAACATGCTACTTCTGTAGCCCTGAAAGTAGGTGTGGGTTGCAGTTTGTAGGTGCATGAAACAAACCAATTGTAAACACAACATGCACTTGCATAACAAAAAAAACATTAGTCAAAAAGCTCGACATGCTGGAATACTTTCATCCAAAAAGAGCAGAATGTGTAGGACAAGTTATGAAGCAAGCTCCATCCCCTTGCCGTGATAGTATAACACCTTCATTATCCTGCTAGATTAGATTGAAGGGACTGAAGTACAGTAAACTACGTTTATAATGAACACACTTATAACGAACAGACGGATATAACAAACAGTTTTTTGGGCCCCGTCCACTTGCTATAATTATGCTGTATATGTGCTTATACCGAACTGCAGTTATAACAAACTAAATTTAGTTGTCTCTTTAGTTTGTTATAACCATAGTTTACTGTATCACTATTTTGTTGCAAAGTTTGGAAGTGGGTGTGCCGTTTGTATGTATCTCCAACGTGAAACAGGTTGATTGGCTCTTTTCTTGTCTGGAATCATGGGTAAAGCTCCCTTGAAACTTTCAAGGCTGATACTCATGACTGTCAAGTTTAATGGTGGTAGATTTTACAAACCTTTCAGGTACAAATAAAAGACGAAAATTGACAACGTATGTGATAAATCAATCAAACAATTATTACAATCAGCAAATTCTGTGATTTCTTGTTTGAAAATACTTTCCAAAAGCACCAACCCAGATTACCTGCGTACTTCACACATGGGAAAGGTGAGGTGAGGTGAGGTGAGGTGAGGTGAAATGGGGTTTAACGTCGCGTCCAAGATTATTGCACTTATATAGTGACGTGCATGTACGTGTGTGTTTGTGTGGCTGCTTGTACTAGTCAGGACTGATGCCGATTTATAATGCTAGCTCACTGAGCATGCTGAGATACCATGCCGCAGTTAACATGAATATCCCACTCAGACACAGTATACTGACTCCGAGCCGACCAGTCCTTGTTTTAGCCCCTTAATGCCGAGCGCCAGACAGGGTAACAACAAGTACCATCTTTTAACGTCTTTTGGTATGACGTGGCCGGGGATCGAACCCCGGACCTTCTGCTCTCCGGGCAGACGCTCTACCACTAGACCACGGAGGCGGTCCACACATGGAAAAGAAAATATGGTATCCTACATATATCTCTGCAATACATGTACAGTCAATTGAATTAATATGATAGCACCCGCTCTTGGACCAGGGTTAAAGTGTTAGATTAAGTCATTAGCCTAGAGGGGACACGGGTAGGCCAGAGGTTTAAGGCGCCCCATTGCTGTGCAGAGTTGCATCCCTTGGGCACACCAGGAAACTATGACCGTAGGTTCCCAGTTTTCCCCAATAATGTTTCTAGGTTTCTAAACACCATACCCGTGCTCGTGGGTTTCACAAATTTAAAGTGGTAAACATCTGAGATCTGCATCGATTCGGACTATCCTCCTATATTAAGCTGACACACTGTGATACAACTGGAATACTGTTAAAAGCGGCATTAAACCTAACCCACTCACTCACTCATTAGCCTAGAAGAGCTTGTAGCTGGTAAGTTGAGTTCGATCCTCCAGGACTAATTGGAATCCCAAAAAGGGTGCCCAGTAAAGTGCGCTATTGCCATGTGCAATATATTATGGGGGTGTACGTATTAATTTTGAAATTTGTAAATACCAGTGAGAGGGCATTCTAAGTTGGAAGAACTTTTACATTCACTTCTTGTGAATAAATAGGTTTCAACAAGAGTCATCAGGAGATGACATATCCCCCTGGTCTGGTGCAATTCAGAAAAGGACTTTGGCTACTTATACCCAACTTCAGGTTCATTTGCATTGGATACCTTCAGTTTAGTGAAGAAAAAAGTAATGCAGTTCAGTATTTTTCAAATATCCCAAATCATCAAAAGGCACCAGTCCCCCTCTAGGCTGATCTGTACCGCAAGTTTCATCCAGAAATATTCAACAGTTTGGGACTTCTGCTCCCGAAACAAGCACTGCCATCATTTTCAGGATAAGTCAAACATGTCGTCATGAAAACCAAACCAATATAAATCCCAAATCATCAAAAGGCACCAGTTCACCACTAGAGTGATCTGTATGGCAAGTTTCATCAGAAATTAAAATGTTTAGAAGTTCTGTTCCAGAAACGAAAATAGATGGAGGGAGACAGACGGACTGACATGCTGATTGCTATATCGCCCTGGTTGGTGATAAAAAAACACAAAACCTGCAGCATTGAAACTCAGTGGACTAGAAGGATAAAACTAGTACTAGTCAGAGTAGTACAAGCGGCCACATACAAACATTTCTATTCAAGTGCAATAATCTTGAATGCAGCGTTAAACCCCACCCCAGTGAGGCTGTTGGCTTGTATAATCCCCAGGGAGCTGAGAATGAACACAAGTCCACACTGATCCAGTGACATGGGTAATAATAAGAATTATCATGGTCTAAGTATTATTTGTAAAGTCCCCTATACAAATTCATAATATATTTTTTAATTTATCACATGTTGCCAGTCTGGGACCTCCATTTTCTTGCTCCGACAATTAGGAGTTTTTCCTTTCCCCTCCACAATTAAGAGTTTTTTTCTTCCCCCTACAATTAAGTTTTTCCTTGCCCCCACGATTAAGAGTTTATCCTTGCACCATCCCTGAAACAAATATATCCTATACAGCCCATGCAAGTCTATAATGTCTAGCAAGTCTAGATTACTGCATCTTTTTTTATATTATACAGAGCTCCAGATAAGCTTTTGGTGTTGTGGGTATTTTACTCATGCATTTTAAAATCATTGGGTATCAGTAATTCTATCTGGGTATTCAAATTTCTGTTACCCACTAGTTTTTACACATGTGGGTATTTAAGTTAAATATTTAAAAACACTATTCATCTAGTCCCTGCAAACTGGTGTTGTGTGGGTTCGAGAGCTTTATAGGACTCACAAATACCACGATACTTCCACAAGAAAGTGTGATGGCAAATGATCATGATGTAAGTGTCATCGTGGAGTTTGGCAAGGTTGACGGAATGCCCGTTAATAATTTCAAAATACGTTGCTGATTTGCTAATCGAATACGCAGGGTTACTTCACAATATTTTGATGATACGCACAAGTTTTATTTTTGTAGCGTATCTGTAATGTTCGTTGCGTATTTGATACGCTTGGGTTTTATTTTACTGCGTATTTCTGCATTTCTGATGCGTATTTCACGCAGCTTATCTGGAGCTCTGTTATATAACTAGAACTTAACAAGTGCTTTTTTCTGTAAATTATGTTCATTTCAGAGACTAGATACTGGTCTACCTTGCTCCACAATTAAGAGATTTTCCTTGTCCCCACAATTAAGAGTGTTTCCTTGCCAACTGCCATATTAATAGAGAGTTTTTCCTTGCTCCCCTTCCCCCCACCCCCCACCCCGCCTCCCACACACACACACACATCCGTGCTGTGGATGTCTGACACACACACTTGCTCCCACTTTCATAATACATGTAAGGGTTGAGATAAAAAAAAATAAAACCTAGACCGAGACCGACAACAATAAACAAAGCTCTCTACGCACAAAACAACACCTGACACACTTGACACGTCACAGACCCAGGCCTGAAAACATGGTGTAGATGTAACTTAAGATATCCCTGACAAGAGATCCACTTCCTCAATCGTGACTGCAGTCTTTCAAGTGTCTCCTTCCATGGAAATACAAACACATGCACTGTCACAAGCAGATAATATTATGTCCTCACCAGCCGGGTGATATGACTTTTCATCATGTTTGTATTTGTTTCTGCTTACAAAATTCAAGGATGAAATTTAACCCATTTCGGACCTGTTTTTGAAAAACACATGGCACATGTGCTAAATGTATTTTACACTTGACAGAACATCGTCACAACCCAGGAAAGAGACACTGACTGAATCATATAGAACATGTAGAATGGAAAACTGGTTTGACAGAAAATAGTGACATATATTAACAGCAATCATCATCATAATCATACAGGGCAATGTTACTTGAGTGCAGGCTGTGAATTTAACCACTTGTCTGAAGTCAGAGTCAAGTAAAATTTTATTTGGCTAGTGAGTATCGTCACTGTATGACAGACATTCTGTACGGAGTAAACTTCAAATGGAAGAATGTTTTGTCACAGACTGGGAAGGTTACCATGGTAACCATCGTTCTTGACATCGCTGTTTAGTGCGTACACACTATATCCCCCAATCTCTGTAGAGCAACATTTCTCTAAGGCCCCCAAACATATGTTTGCCTTTTCAGCCCATCCAAAATTTGTTTTTTTTACTTTGTTTTCTCTTTGAGTCTTTTTTAAGCCTGTTCTGTAACATGAGGTGAGGTGAAATGGGGTTTAACGTCGCATCCAAGATTATTGCACTTATATACATGTGTGATCGTGGGAGGGGGGAGGGAGGTGGCTGCTTGTACTAGTCCGGACTGA